GCTGTTTCCAAAGGCGGGGCGGAGCGTGCCGAGCTCCCCTGACTAGAGCTAGTGCATAGGAAGTATAGCTTTGTCTTTTTTGTTTCCACCCTCCACAATTCACATAACATATAAATTACCTTTACCCGCTCCTGTAAACTCCAGTATACGAATGATGCTACCAAAACAGCGGCCGATCGACTCTTGACTCTGCATCGTCCAAGCTTCATGAGAATAGAATGTGTTTTTGAATCCCGCGCAGCACTGAGCAACACACTGATAGAGTCAAAAGGATTCACTCACTTTGTCCAGAATTTTTATTCAAAAAAAAAAACCCTATATCCCTCCACTCATTATATATCAATACATAAAACCAATATTCTCGCTCTCATTTTCCAACTGACCACCTTGGGGGGGATCTGTATCTATACACAAATGTTCTTTCTTCTTGAATATATGCCGAAGGTCAAATGAGGTAGTGGCAGGGTGCTTCTGAAAACTGATTGAAGTATCTCGAAAGCGGGCACTAAATGATTTAGTAGTCGCACTAACTACGGCACTGCTTCATCCTCAACGTTCGTCACCATTCTCTCCCATTGAATTTTACCAAGCTTTTCATACATTTGCTCGATATCGTATGAATATGATACAGACAAGGGCAGTTGACAGCAGCCAGATTTGGGCATGAGCCTGTAATGCCAAAAGCCACCTGATGAGCCCAATGAATCAATGGCAACGCATAATGCCGCACCCTTATGTGGGAAGCCGTTCACCCCCAGTGTCCGTAAGAAGACCTCGTAGTCCGTTCAAATTGGTTAAGAAAAGGAGTTGTAATGCGTCCAAGACCGACAGAAGGAGACCGCGGGACCTCCAACATAAGGCTGAAGCGCATTCTTGGAGACCAATACCGAAGAATATTCCAGTCTGTGTTGCAATAGGAATAAAAAGGAAGAATGTATCGCTATCTTTGGCTCGCATAGAATTGAGGAAAGCCACTACCGTGACGATGCATAAAAGATGGTAAACGCAGGTTCTGCATGGAGGAATGCCCCTTCGTTAGACGGAATCATTGCAGACAAATAGAAGAGGGTAGGCAGAGGGAGGAAAGAGCTTGAGAGAAGGAAAAGGTAGGGTTGGAAACATACATGAAGAATATGGAGTCCCTGGCGACCTGCAAGAAGTGCAACCAAGTGAAGAGAAAGAACAAGATGAACCACACAAGTAATGATCTGAGAGATGCACATGTTAGTTGTATGTCGTCCCAACTCAAGTCTTCTGGAGCGAGCATACGCAGTTGCGATGATTAGATTTTGTTCGATCTGTCTTTCAAGTGTGCCGATGATTGCAAGAAGCATTGATGGAATCATCATTGTGATATAAATGCCCCTCCTCAAACTCATCTTAACCATGGCGTGTAGTGGCAGGAGTGTATAATGACTGTTTAAAGCCAATACGTCTAACGAAAACCACGCCAAAAAAATAAAAAAAAATAAAAAAAAAATCGGTATGACTGTACACTGAGACACAGAAACAAAGGAACGGGATTGAAGGCATCAAGTCGAAATATATAAAGAAAACCCGGTCTATGAAGATCTCACTTGCAGGTAGGTCTCTTCCGGGCGTTTGCCCACTGAGACTGAGCTTAAAAACAATGTCGTTTCTCCGTGATGCCTTGGTTTGTATCATGGAGACCAGGGCAGTGCCAGGTGCCTGTATGGCAGAAGGCTGCATCCGGGATTGCAATAGAGCCTAGCTCATGCGCAGGAAAGTAGTCCCCCAGTACATTTGCAGACCAAGATATCGGTTCCCCTGGCATGGGTGCCCACTCGCGGCGGGCTTTGCGACTGTACAATACCAGTGGCCCAAGAGCCCCGAGGATACTAGTGAGGAATCTAAGCGCATGTAGAGTGATCATTTACCACGGAGGGATGCATCTTACAATTTTGTGATCTTATGGTTGCATATGCCATGCGTGCCTCACTCGCCAATTAAAAAAAGACCCCTCATTGTAACCCCACCTTTGCCATGCTGCAACACAACTCCCAGCGGAATTGGGGTTGCCGCAATCATACAGCGCGCATACTACGACTCTCTCTCTCCAAATGTCTCGATGCATCATATCCAATTGAAACGGCCCACGCAAAACAATTGTAGCACTTCCTCTGCCTTCTCCGAGATTTCGCAACTTCCCTCCCTGGATCTTGTCCAGGCTCGTCCGAGGCAGTGTCTCTACGTACCTACCACGTAGTAGATGACTTATGTACCCGAGAGAACAGGGATTATGATCTGCGCAGTCTCTGGGCACGTTCGAACCAGAAAATAAGTGTGGGATGCATACTGGACGAGTGTCAGCATGGTGATTACAGCGGCTTCTCCATCCGACCAACGATTCGGCGCTTTATTGTTTCAAGAACACGTGCCGTCCTCGAACAGCGCTTCAATGCAAAGTATGCAATGTCTTGTCCCGACCATTTGCTATACCCCATTGCAAACATTGACCCTTCATATCAGCCATGCCACTTAAAGCATAACTTATGTAATTAATTTCTGGAAAGTTGGGCGCGGGTGCGCAAAGTGTCGTTGGATAAGTCGCTTTCAAATTAATTGTTCGAAATCCCTGAAGAAGCACATAGTCGATTTTATTCTGTACATTATGGTCGGGTCATATGGGGCTGCTCGATTCTCCGAGGCAAGATTGGCTTCTGATTGATTTACGCCTCGTAATGAATCCTGTCTAAGATATAATTTCTTGATACGGAATAATCCATTCTAAAGAACGGATTACATACAGGCTCCTTGAAGTTGTTGCCTTTGCTGTCAGACCTAATGTATAATACAGCAAGTAGCGCCTAGCCAGCTTGTTATGCAAAGCTATTGTAAATGACTGGGCGGCCCGTTCTGTATTGTCTTACCGATCAATATGGGGCTTTTGGTAGATCGCGAAATTTAGGATCTTACTCATTACAAGGTCAACTTTCTCGTCCTGGTCGTGATATTTGTGGGGGCCTCGATTATTACAAGGTCGACTTTTGCGTTCTCGGCTAAACGTGATTTATATTCTTGATATTTATA